CTAGACTTGACCTTTGTTCCCAAGGTTCTTCTTTCCATGTTAACAAGTCAATTTACCCTCCTTTTGTCCAAATCTAGTGTATGAGAAAGAGAAATTGTGGCACACATCTGATGTTTGTAGGTGTTCTGTGTTGTTTTATCAAAAGGACTTCTCTTCGTTGTTTGGGTGTCGTGTTTATATTCACACATTGGAGAAGAGAGTTTCAAAAGTTACTATCGCCTCCTGGATTCAACAGTGCAGCTGTGGTTTGTCTGGTGGACGGACCCTGCAAATATCCTAGCGGAAGCTCCATTCCACCCAGCCAAGGCTACACTCACATTAACCACAGACGCATGCCTTTGGGGTTGGGGCGCACATCTCAAAGGACTTTGTGTCGGGGCTCGTTGGGAATCCCAAGTAGCCCACCACCACATCAATTTCCTAAAACTGTTGGCAGTGCAGTACGCACTCAGGTCCTTTCGACACCTTGTGGCTCGGCAGGTAGTCACTGTCCTCATGGACAACACCACGCCCCTCTGCTATATCAACAGACCGGGGCACGGTATCCAGGGGACTATGTCGTCTAGCCCTGGAAATATGGGAAGACTGTCTGTCGTGGGGCACATCCCTGAAAGCCGCCCATCTTCCGGGGACTCTGAACATCCAAGCAGACTTCCTGAGCAGGGGCAGCGCGTCGGAGCACAAATGGGAGATCAACTGACAATATCTCCAGTTGATCTTTCACCTATGGGGCTATCTGGAGATGGATACATTTGCTACACACCACAACAGGAAATGTCGTCTGTTCTGTTCAAGAGCGGGGATCGATCCCCTGTCTCTAGGTGATGGTCTCCTTGTCCCATGGTCACGCATGTATGTGTTCCTCTTCCCTCCAATTCCACTAATCTCCAGAGTATTTGCCAAAATAATGCAGGAGAAACCTCATTGCCTCTTAGTGACTCCATGGTGGCCCCAGCAACATAGGTTCCCCATTCTGCTCCATCTCTCCAAGGGCTCCTTCATACATTTTCCTCCAGTCACGGATCTCCTCCTTGCGGGGAAGGGGCAGATTCTGCATCACAACGTGCAGCTTCTCAAGCTGAAGGCTTGGAGGATTCTCTTCTGAAGTTCAAAGACAGGATAGACCATGTCATACTAAACAGTCGTAAGCCGTCCACTCGAGCTTCCTACAAAGGGAAGTGGAGAAAATTCTTGTCCCACCTTACGTCGTTGGGATTGCCACCACCCCCATTCGATCTGATGACAATTTTTGGCTTTCTATTATCCTGTTTGAACTTGGGCCTTAGTTGTACCTCATTGAAGGTCTATTTGACCACAATTTCAGCCAATCACCCACCGATTGATGGTTACTCTGTTTTTCCCCACCCACAGGCCAAAAGATTTCTTAAGGGCCTGACCCACCTTTTTCCTTTGTCACATGGCCCTACACCAGCATGGGACCTGCCCATGGTGCTTATGAGACTTACAGACAAGCCTTTCAAGCCGATAGCTTACTTGTAGCTTTCAGCTGCTGTTGTGGAAGACAGCCTTTTTAATTGCAGTCACCTCCACCAGGAGGATGAGCGAACTGTCGGCGCTCCGTTGTGACCCCCCATATTTGAGTTTCCGTCATAATGGGGTCACGTTGCTTCCAGATGTTTCTTTCTTACCGAAAGTTGTTTCTGAGTTTCACTTACAAGCAGACATTGTCCTCCCAGCATTCTTCCTGTCCCCGTTGAACGAGGAAGAACATCGGCTTCACTCGATGGATGTCAAAAGAGTGCTACTCTTACCTGAGTCGAACAAGGCCCTTTAGAAAGTCACCAGCCTTGTTTGTCTCTTATGTTTTACCCTCCCAAGGGAAGAAGCTGTCGTCCCAACGCCTATCCAAATGGATTGTGGAGACTATTAAACTGTGCTACACGCTAGCAAAGAAGTCACTTCCGGGGTTGCTAAGGGCACATTCCACCTGGGCAGTGACCGCATCCACAGCCTTCCTGCTAGAAGATATCTGCAATACAGCGACCTGGGTCACTCCTCACACGTTTGTGAAGCACTACGCCCTTGATGTGCGCATTCACCAGTATTCAGCAGTAGGTCGGGCAGTGTTGCAGGCGGCGCAGAATTAGTACCTCAGCTCCCTCCTCCAGGTAGGTGTGTACTGCTTGCTAGTCTCCCAGAGGTGTGATGCAGAGAGACCATGAAGAAGATAAACAGGTTGCTTACCTGTAACTGATGATCTTCAAGTGGTTATCTGTTCATTCACACCACCCGCCCTCCTTCCCCTCTGCTTTTGGTCCTGTCCTTTCTTTGGAGACTGAGGGCAGCGGTCAGAAGGAACTGGCGGGATCCTCGTGCCCCCCCCCCAGTCATGCGCAGTGGAGCCCGGCACGTGACCAGGGAGCGGGCGCGAAAATCCCTTTTGCTTTCCATTATACCAATCAGGGTCAGCGCAGGCACACTATATCCCAGAGGTGTGAATGCACAGATAACCACTCGAAGATAATCAGTTACAGGTAAGCAACCTGTTTTTCTGTATCCCTCTCCTTATACAAATGTTCACCCTCCACCATGTTGCCCGTGGGGTCACTGGACTCTCATGAACAGAACAGGTGGCAAAGTGGGGGAAATAGTGGAAATTGCCTCTCTGTTAATAAATGAGGGATGTGCTTTTTGGGAGCAGATGGTATAACACAGATCACTGACATTAGTGTTGCATATTTATTTTCCTTTTTATGTATTTACTCTTTTATCCCAGATTTATGCTAATTGATCAATGTCTGGATTAAGTTGGGTGAAAATAAAAAATATTTAAACTTGTTTCAAATATCCTTTTTTTCAGGGAATATGGAAACCTCGTATAATTAAAAATCCCTATTATAATGGCATCTGGGTCCAGCCAGAAGTAGATAACCCAGAATACACTCCAGATCCTAGTCTTTACAAATATTTCAATATTAGTGTTATTGGCTTGGAAATTTTACAGGTATGTATATTATGCAGATAGCAGAACTCATACTGCCATTGAAAAGATAATTTTTGTAATGGCCGTCATTCTGCTGTGGAACAAAAGAACATCTGCTTTCATTCTGTAGTCTAGAGCAATAGTATTGGTAAGTAACCCATTCATTTTTAAAAGATGACATACATTACACTTCTCATTGTAATCTCTTTAATTAAATCAAGAGTGTGGGCAGCCTATAAATAATCAAGGTGGAAATCCTCAAACCACTTAAGGGTATGAATTATTTTATAAGTGATGTATTTCAATAACCTCTTTCTAGAGTAAAATCTGGTGAATGCACAATGAACATAGAACAGTCCATATGTGCCCAGCTTCCCCCCTCCCCAATTTCTTTTCCCCCAAAATTTGATGCTGGAATAGACTGCTTCCACAGTCTCTGTACTACTGCAGGCTGAAAAGCCAACATGCATGCTAAGGTGTATACATCTGGTGTCTTCATTGGCTAGATCTGGAAGTGATTAATTTATTTATAGCCCAAATGGCCAATTTTTGGGAAGTAGTAGAATATAATATTGTGTGAGTGGTAATTTGGAGGCTGGAATCTTTTACTGTATTGAAACTTGCCAATTATGTGATGTTACTCTAGTTTCTAATTTTAAAGCATACTCTGTGGTGGTGATGGCAGCAAAGAAGAAACCGTTTTCCGCTGCCATTGCATCTGCACAGTGTAGCCCAGCAGAACTCTTCTGAATGGTCGGAGGCCTGTTGGGATTTGGCCTGCAGGAGGAGATGAACTGCTTGGTGGCCCACTGTGACCGTTTTGCTCAGCACATTGCAAATAAAATCCCTCACATCTGTTCTGACTTGGACTCCATGTTAGCAGTGAGAAGGTCAGATGGTGCGAGGATGCTACCTTGTGCAATTGTGTGAGATACTTTTCAGTTTATTCAGGAATTCAGGCCCGTAGCCAGGAAAAAAATGGGGGGGGGCCCCACTGGTGGGCACAATGTCACAATAAATAAATAAATAATGAAGAGCCAGAGAAAGGGCCACTTTCCGCCAGACAGAAATCTATGGTCTCAGTGCGGCAGCGCTCCTACAGCTTGTTTGGGGAAAGGGCTTGTGGGTGGTGGTGGGCAGACTGGAGAGAAGTACGCTTGGGCTGGGACTGGCACAGGTGCAGAGGGGAGGGAGATGAGGAGGAGCTGCTTACCCTGGCGATGCTGGCTCTTCCTGCTGCTTCTTGGTGGGCTGGGCCAGTATTGCTTAAGCTGCGTCACACTGCCACTGGCCCAAAGAGATTTCTCTAACCCTCCTTCCTTCCTCCTTCTGGGCCACATGCTGCTTTCTCCTTCTGCCAGGGTAAGAGGTGAGTGGAAGGAGGGTTAGAGCAATCGTTTTGGGCCGCCAGTAGCATGGCGCAGCTTAAGCAATACTGGCCTGGCCCGGCCCACCAACAAGCAGCAGGAAGAGCCGGGGTCACTGGGGTAAGCAGCTACCTTTTAAATGTCCCTTTAGAAACTGGCTCTGACTTACAAAAGAACAGAGCTTCGGACTGGCAGCGGCATGGCTTAAGCAGATTGAAGAAGATTGGGTGGGGTGCTGCTGGGGTGGGGGCTTCAAATGCAAAAGAAGAAGAGGTTGGATTTATACCCCATCCTTCACCACCCAAAGAAGTCTCAGAGCATCTTGCAATCTTTTTCCCCTCCCCTCCCTCCCCTTCCCCACAACAGACACCCTGTGAGGTGCTGCCCTGTGTGCCCCACCAATGGCTATGGCCCTGCTGAGGATGTGGACAGGGTCCTTGGAAGTCTGAGGCCTTCCACCTGATAGTATAACTCCTGCTTATATTTTCCAGGGGGGCAGCTGACTGGGTTCAAGAGGTAGTGAATGCTTCCTTAGGAGGGGGTGGTCATTTTTGCCTTGAAACAGGCTGTGGTGCATCCACTTCTAAAGAAACCTACCCTTGACCCAGGAGACCTCAATAATTATTGACCAGTCTCAGATACTCCATTCTTGAGCAAGGTGATTGAATGGGTGGTGGCTGCATAACTCTGAGTCTTCCTGGATGAGGCAAATTGTTTAGATCCCTTCTAGTATGGTTTTGGGCCAGGTTATGGTACTAAACAACCTTGGTTGCCTTGGTGGATGTCCTACGCCAGGAAGTGGACAAATGGAGTGTGACTCAGTTGAGTCTCCTGGACCTCTCAGCAGTTTTCAGTACCATTGATCTTGGTAGCCTTCTGGACTGCCTATCTGGACTGCAGTGGTTCCAGTCCTACCTGAAGGGTAGGTTTCAGAATGTAGTGCTGGGGGCTGCTGTTTAGCCCCTTGGCCTTTGGCGTGTGAGGTCCCACAAGGTTCCCTCCTGTCCCCTGTGCTCTTTAACATCTACATGACAGTGCTGGGTGAAGTCATCTGGAGATCTGGGGTTGGATTGTCACCAGTTTGCAGATGACATTATTTTCTATTTCACACTTACAGCTGATCCCACAGAGGCTGTATAAACCCTGGACCATTGCCTGGAGGCAGTTCTGTAGTGAATGTGGGCTAATAAACTGAAGCTTAATCCCAACAAGAAGGAAGTGCTACTTGTGGGTGGAAAGTCTGACCCAGGATTTAAGGTGTCACCCATTTTGGATGGGGTTGAACTCCTCGTGGAGGAACAGGTTTATAGTCTGCAATTGCTCTTGTGCCCAGGTCTACCGTTGGATAAGTAGGTGATAGCTGTGGCCAAGAGTGGCTTTTACCAGTTTCAGCTGGTTAGCCAGCTGTGGCCTTTCCTGGACAGAAAAGATCTGGCCACTGTGGTACATGCCCTGGTTACATCTAGATTAGATTACTTCAATGTGCTCTATGTGGGGTTTCCCTTGAAAAGTGTTGAAAAACTGCAATCAGTACAGAATGCTGCAGCCAATATGTTGACTGGAGTGGGTTAGAGGGATGATATCACTCTAGTCTTGATCCACCTACATTGGCCTCCAGTTTGTTTCTGGACACAATTCAAGGTGCTGGTCTTGACCTTCAAAGGCCCCAGATATAATGATACAACAGAATAATAATACAACAGAACAATAATTTTGTGAAACACCAGGCTTTATTTATAATGTTCTAAAAATGTCAAGACCATACATACAATTTATTCTCAGTAGTGCAAAATCTAAGTTGTTTCACCTAAATAAAACATTTAAAAGTACCAAACGGAGCTTTTCATGCAAAACCTGATGAACACTGGTGGCTGTCTGATTGTAATCTCTCATTAAAGTCTCTCTAGACACCATGGTTACAGGAAAAATCAGGAAGACACAAAATTTTGGATCTGTACTAACTCCAGTATGTTAGCTGGCTCCCACTGTTGAGTTCCATCCCCTCTTTTCCAATCCATATTAGACAAAATCAATTTCAATTTTCAATTTATTACGGGTCTATATTACCGAAGTCTTGACCAAAAGAGAATGCAAAAGGGGATTAGACAAAATCAAAACAAAAGTGCTTAGGGGAAAATGTTTAATGAAATAAACTAAAGTAGCCAACAGGGCTGAGAAAAGTGTTCAGTCTCTTTAAGAGGTGTAATACATGGAAATGGATAGTTGAAGCTTTTCATCTTATTGAGGGATTTTTAGTTGCACCATTTGACATTTATAGAAATATAGATTCCGATTAATTAATTGTGCATGTTTGAAATTCTAGTAGACTTTCCCCAGAACAAAGATTTTAATATTTAGTAGGTATTCGTGCTCACACAGTGTTGTTCTTAAACATAAAGAAAGGCCATGAGTGATGGCTGGAAGTACTACTGGAAATTATCATTACCCATTCTGGACTTGCTGCATTCTGTTGTATCTACATTGATCTCATTGTGGCAGTTTTATATATTACATCAACCTTTGCAGTATAATTTCTTTTCTGATTAGGACATAAATGGATCATCCTGGATTATGCCAAATTCGTTTAGAGCCTGCAAATTCAGTTGGATTGCTGGAAATAATTATCCTTTGTATTAAGAATTACTTTGAGGTTTACAGTTCTCCTTTTTTTATTCCAATAGGGAAGATCCGGTACAATCTTTGATAATTTTCTTATCACAAATGATGAAAAGTATGCTGAAGATGCTGGTAATGAAATGTGGGGAACCACATATGTAAGTGACTCCATAGCATTTCACAAAAGTAAAAATCATACTTTATGGCTGAGTCTGATAATTACATGCATACTTTTTTGGATTCTCATAGGAGTCTTTAAGAACAATAAATATTTAATATTCTCTTGTTTATGTGCTGTAACATCGCACACAGGAGGGTATGAGAAACATACAGTAATGAACGATGTTGCAAATTTTTATGGCTATAGGAGTGGGAATATTATTCTTCAGTTTTGTTAAGGGGTCTTTCTTTACCATCTTTATGTTTTTAGCAAGTCAGGCGAGGCAGGGTACATACTATCACTCATATTCACATTGTCAGTTTTGCAAAATATTTCCTCCAACTGTTTGGTAATCTGCAGCTGAATACAATTCATGTTATATATAGTAACTGGGAAATAGTGAGCTTTATGTAGACAGTTAATTAAATACCAATAGATATTTCAGTGGACCAGAAGGCCAGGCTAAGTGTAGGTAAATTGTTTGCTCTGTATCCTACCACTCCACTAAGCAAAGTTTGAAGTCTTCATTCAGCCTATGCCAGGCTATCTCCCAGCATGTACTAATTATGAGTTGGGGTGTTCAGTGTATTTGCAACAATGTTTTGCCTACTGAACATTTTTAAACTGAATGGCAATACAAGTAGTGTACCCCAGAGTAGCTAAGAGAAGGAACTGTTAAAGAGGAGCTGTAAGGATGGTTAAGAAATGTACGTAAAACACATTGATAATTTAGGAAAAGTAATTGACTAGCAGCAACTAAGCTCCAGTATGCATCAACATTTGCACATATTCACTGTTATTTTTGAAAATGCTAGTTAAAATACCTGGAGTACAGTTGAACAAGCCAATAATGTTGTTTGACTTTGGATGGTCAAGAAACTCCTTTGCTAAGTAAGAGATTCACAGTATAGTTGTAAAGCAGAAATTCACCCTTCTAAACCCATTAATCTAACTAAATTCTGTTTAGGATTACACTGCTAGCATATTCTTCACAAAAGCTCAAACTAGAAATCCAATACAAAAGGATATTGGCTATTTGTATACTTTTTTTTCTTTTCACAAATTGCATACCATATCAGATGAAACTGTCATTGCGATATTTTGTATAATTAAGATGCTATAAGTATCAGAAGGGAAGAGTTATCAAAGTTTTCAAGCAAGATGCTTGGTCAAAAATCATATTCTGTTAAAAACTGGCCTTAGCTTTTGATGGTCATTAAGAATTATTGGAAGTTTCAGTTGGAGATAGTCTGTTGTCACACTTACTATTATAGTAAAAAAAACCAAACTGGACAGACCAAAATGTAGGATAAAGTCTTAAGGAACCACAGAAAACACTCATAATGTGGCTTGTTAAAAAAATCCAGATGTTGGCATGGCTCATACTGATGGGTAGCATTACCATCAGGCATGGGGGGAAATAATAGAAATATAATGTGTGGATATGGGAGTTGAAGCTTTTCTTGGCATGGGGATAAATAACATACCATTAAATCTTTATTAAAGGGATAGGACATTTTTGTCCAGGCCTGCTGAGAACCCTTTTCATGGATGTGGGAAACATTAGAAATCTTCTGCCTAAGACAGTCCTGTAAGAAAAATAGGGCTCACCAAAGAAAAATACTCTTCTATATCTTTAACACATTTAGTTGTATCATTATACCAAATTTCCTGTATTAACTAGCATTCATTCATTATATATGAAGTACATTTCATTAACATAAGCAAAGCCAGTAAATGATAATATGAGTACAATACAAAACAATACAAAATCTTGATGCAGTTATTCTTGATGTTGTTTTGGCTGAGCTCCTGGAATGTTTACTCTTTGAGACGTCCTGACGGAGCTGTAAAGTGTGCAAAGCAAACTGAGGAGTCCTCGTTATACGAGTTCCTGAAAAGTGTTTATCACTCCTTCATTTGAAAACATGTAGTTCCAAGGAATGTAGGAGATAAAGAGAACACACTTTCCTAGGATTAAACAGCTGTTTCGTATGTCTTTTTCAACTCTATCTCTCAGTTGGTGTTTCTCACCAATCTCTTGCCGTGGCACAAGCAGGCATGACAATAATGTGGATCAACGCAACCTCTCTCTAGTGTCTTTGGCTCAGCCAAAACAACGTTAAAAATAACTACATCAAGATTTTGTATTATTTTGTATTGTACTCATATTATCATTTACTGGCTTTGCTTATGTTCATGAAATGTACTTCATATATATAATGAATGAATGCTAGTTAATACAGCAAATTTGTTATAAGGGAATTTGGTATAATGATGCAACTAAATGTGTTAAAGATATAGAAGAGTAATTTTCTTTGGTGAGCCCTATTTTTCTTATTGTAATTACACCAAAGCCTGTCTAGTTTTTAAGACAGTTCTGTGGCTGTTCCCATTAGTTTTTAGGTTGACAGGCAGAAGAAGGATAATGAAAGAGGTCCTATTTTTTCATCCTTCTCTCACCTTGCTTTGCCTCTTGCAGCTAATGTGATCCCTTTGCTGATCTTTCATTATAGTGAAAGGTACCACTGTTTTTCTCTCCTCCTGCAGCCTTCCACTGAGAGGAGAAACAAAACAAGTGCTTTAACTCAGGACACAGCCAGTTGCCATCTCAATACATGCTAAAATGTTTACAGGACCAATTTAACATGCCAGAATCAACTTAAACTCTTGTATGGGGTTCTGTACATACAAATAGTTATGCCGACCAGATTTTACAAAAAATATTGCCTATACTTAACCCCATGGATTTTAGTTACTGGATTAGCATGTCAGTTACTCTTTAAAGCAGAAATCTAACAAATCAGATTGTATATGCAAGAGTATGCTTTTTTATCAGTAAGGTCAAGAAATACTCCTGAGAACAATGCATTAAATTAAAAGGGTTTGACTTCTGTCCTCCCTCAATGAGGCCTTGGGAAGGGCTCAGCTCTTCTTAGTCATTGACTTTTTAGCCAAGAAGGAATGGGAGACAGAAGCAAACAGAAATATATTTCTGCATTCATATACAGGGCTATGATGTTTACAATGTTGAAAATATTATCTTTTTTAAAAGTTCCTGATAGCTTTCATTTGAACCTGAGAGGGAATAAGCCTGCATAAATACCTAGCCGTTTATTTGTACTAGCTTTTAATGATGTTTTCTTATTCACATCTTTTCAAAATTCTGATAAACAGGAAAGAGAATGGAAGAGAAGAGAAAGACAAGATACAGTATATAAAAAGATAAATGATAAGGAGGAACCAAAAGGAAAGGAGGATAAGAAAGAAAAAAAGCAAAAGGATCCCAATGTTAAAGATGAGCTCTAATGAACCAAAACCCAGTGCCTACTCATCACTCTGTTTATTTCTTAATAATTGTATTTATTTTCAAATATCTATTAATGAATCTCAGAAATGAAATGGCAATTAAAAATTCCAGGCATATAAATTGTTGTGCTATTAGATAGCTAATGATGGTGTAAGTAATGCTAAGAACTGTTAGTGCGGTCCTATACAGAATTACTCCAGTCTAAGCCCATTATGCCGGCAATTTGTACAATGCAGGAATATAAAATATAGCACAGAGCCATTGACTCAATTCCGCAATCACATTCCCTGATCTCCAGACCAGGGCTCAGGGATCAGTAATGTGATTTGAGGTTTAATTCTTCCACCTCATGCACAAATTTCTTTCCTATTCATGGTTTGTTGTAACCATAATTTAGTGTAATCATATGCATTAGAGCTAATTACAGTTACAACTAAGCAGGAGTGCCCAAAACCTTGGTTTGCAAACACTTCAAAGTTAACAAGCCAAGAAACATCATAGCACACAGGTCTCCAACCTTTTTGAGCCTATAGGCAGGGGTCATTTCCTGCAGGAGCGCACAGGAGCGGAGCTCCAGCAGTAAAGAGCCCAGGGGCCGGGTACATGTAACAAGCCCCACCCCCTGCTCCCAGCAGCCCTCAGTCGGAGCAAGAAGCAGCCAGGTAAGTTGCAGAGCACCAGCCCCCCGGTCCAAAACAGTCCAGTGGCATCTTTAAGACCAAGTTTTATTCAGGTACAAGCTCTCCCTCCTCTGCGAGGACAGATCTGCACGTCCCCCCCACCAATAGCTAGCAATCCAAAACAGTCCAGTGGAGCCTGAGCAGTGGGTGTTGCCTTCTGACACACTTCTGGTGATGTCAGGGGGTGTGGCATATGCAAATAAGTTATGCTAATGAGCTCCTGCACCTCTTTTCCTACAAAATGACCCCTGCCTATAGGCACCTTTGGAATTCTGACACGGTGCACACAACTACAAAATGTCTGCTGTAGGAGGCGAGCCAACCACACACAGGAAGCCCAAGGGGACAAAAAGTGTGATTAAAAAAAATACACTGGAAAAAAGTAGCAAGAGAATAAAATCAATACTGTGGTGGCAGCTGCTGCTGAAACATTTTAATCTGCACAGCCAATTGGATCTCCAGTGGCCAATCAGAAGCCCTGCTGTGCAAAAGTCCCACCTGGCCTCACCTACTTTCTAAAAACACTTTGGGGGCACCAGGAGAGGTGTTTGCAGGCACCATGGTGCCCACATGCACCTTGTTGGGGACTCCTGTCATAGTAAGGTTCTTTTTTCGGCTTGTAAGGATACCATCTGCAAGCAGGCACAGTACAATACAGATAGGCTTACCAAGTGCCGGCGGGGGATCTGCGTGTCTTGGCAGGATCCCTGCCGCGGGGACGGCAACACGCGTTGCACCGCCATCGCCAGGATGTGACGCTACGCGTCGCTCTGGCAACGGGGCTGTTTGGAGTCCCGTTGCCAGAGCGACGCATAGCGTCACATCCTGGCGACGGTGGGTGCAACATGTGTCGCTGTCCCCACGGCAGGGATCCTGCCAAGACACGCAGATCCCCCGCCGGCACTTGGTAAGCCTAAATACAGATCTTTAAATAAAATAATAGAGTTGTGATCTCCCAAGAACTGTCTGCTAGGGCTTAATGAGCCCAATCACAGAAAGCCTTGGCAAGGCTAGTCTAACATAACGTAGGGCTTTTTGCTTCAGCTTTTCCATTTTAAAGAATGGAAGATCATGAATCTGAAAGGTAAAAAATTCTCAATGAACTAGACCTGTAACTCATGAATTCACATGCAAACAATGACCCTGAAGAAGAACCATAAGACACAAACTCGGGAACAGGGAGTGGGAAAGTGCTGTGATAAAACATCAAGACCCAATGCAGCTTAGGAAAAGACCAGAGCAGTCAATGAGATTTCTTCTTATGCTTGAGGTTGCTTGTATGATTGGACACAGAAACTTGTTAGTATTAAATTTTTAAAAAAGGAATTGAGAACATGTTAATGGAGAGGTTTCAAGCCAAGATTCTTCCTATGATAGAGGCAGCTGTTTCCAAATGGTTGCTCCTGCAGACATAAAGATGGTACTTCCTGGGCTCTTCTGAACCACCTCTAATCATCTGAAGTGGGAGTAAAATAAGGGGTGGCTCTTTGCTTTGGCAGAGATACTTTGGAGAAATAAGTGGGTGCCAGGAGACTCATTGGCAAGCACTGTGTTGGAGATTGTTGTCCCATGGGTTGCATCTTCCTTCATGTACCTGAAAAGATTAACTTTTTTAAAGTTAAAGCATGCTCCACCCTCATGTTTAACTATGCCATAAAGTACCCATGAGCACATTCAGATCCACTTAGTAAAGCTGCCAGCAGTAATGTGATGCCTGTAGTATTAGAATGGATTAGCAGACAAAGAGGAAGTCGTGGCTGTCACATCTGACTCCAGGGCATTGTGTATCTAATACACTACAGCTCAGGACAGAATCCAGGAAGATAATCCAAAAGTGGGGGGAGGGACAATGAGAATATTAATGCACAGTCAAGGTTTTCCCCCCAGTCTCTAGTAGGCAATGCTGGGGGTGTTTTAACACATTGCAGTAAGGGCTTATGTTGCAGGACTGCTGCCACATACATAGCTGAACTTTTATGTTCTTTGTGCTTGTGATCAACTCCTCTAGACCTCATGCTCATCCACAAAACAGAAGCTGGCTATGTCCAGCATCTTTTTGGACTTCAGTACTCCTATCA